AGCTCTCTGAAAGCCTGGAAAGATCTGGAAAAAAGGAGTCTGCACTGGGCATCACCCTGCCCTGAGGCATTGTTCTGGGTTGTCAGAGGATGCACACATCACTGAGGTTCAGAAATCAATTCTGAGACCCATTCAAAAGCACATCGCTAGTGAAAGGGGTTAAAGTTGTTGGGGGCTTCTTCCTAGCATCGTGCCTGTGCTTTAGGCACAATCTTTCCTGCAGGAAGGTCAGCTTATTCCCTGTGTTCAGCCCTGAGGTGCTACAGAGGCCTGCAGAAGGGTGTTTCCCAAATATAAACAGTCTCTCCCTGGTAGGAAGAGCTCTGATAGTTGCATATGAAGGAGAAAATGACTTTGAGGTACCTTGCAAACACAACTATTCTGCAGGTTGGAGGCAGGTTTCCTCTTTAGTTATGCTGTTTGTGAGAATTTAAATAGATACAATGAAAAACTTGGTAAAGCAAAAAGCTATGGGGGAAACGCCCCTGAAATTAGAACAAAATGAATGTTGTCAGGCACCATGTGGAGTACCTGGCATGTACACAAGGGCTTACATGTGTTTTTGTGCCTCCCAGGACTACTGGCTCTCACTGCTCTACAAGAGGTTGGTGGGTACCAAGGTGCTGCAGGTCGGCCTGGCAGGAGCCAATGAGAAGAAGCTCCGTGTCTACCTCCACTGCACAAACACCCTCAAGTAAGCCTCTAGAGAGGGCCAAATACCCCCAAAACTGAGCCCATGGCCACCCCCAGTCCAACAAACGTGATTTGGGACGGTGCAAGGTCGCACATCATTTATGTGAAACCTCTTTCTCTCCTGATCCCCACCATCATCTTCTCCTGCCTTGCAGCCCAAAGTATAGAGAAGGGGATGTGACACTGTTTGTCCTAAACCTCTACAACATCACCCAGCATTTGCAGCTACCGGATTACCTATCCAGCAAGCACGTGGATCAGTACCTCTTACTGCCTCATGGCAAAGAGAACATACTTTCCAGGTAAGTGTGCAATTCCATGTGTCCCTGTGGAAAAGGCTGTGAGTAGAGGTAGGTGGTCTTTAAAACCTGCCCTTTTTCAGTTTGCAAGGGGGAGGAAGAGGTTACCATTCAGTCATCTGGGGTTTTTTTCAGTAAAATCTGACTTCTGTTTAATCAGGTCTCTTAAACTCAGTCTGCTGAAAGCTTGCTAAGGTACAGGGACACTTACTTGACGTTAATTGGGAAGTTTTTATCTAGCAGGCTTCAGGGCTCTGGACCAGCTGCTAAAGTCCTTTATCTTTTGCACAAGCACAGGAATATTTCCCAAATGCTGGTTCCTGATTTACAGCAACATGTTCAGGCTTTGTATGTTGGGGATTTTTTGGTTTTTTTTGTTATCGCTAAGGCTTCTGCATGGGAAGGATCTTCTCCATGGCATAGAAGATACCTTAATAATTTCACGAGAAAAGGCAGTTAAAATCTGTATTTTTCAAAGCCTGCTTTGCTCTTACTTCATTGGAAGACTAAGAAACATGTAGTTTTCATTGTGCTTGTGCTACACTCTAAGGGACTCCTCGCAGAGGGAGTGCTGCAGATGCTCTTCCCTTGAGGGAAGTTTAGTTTGGCTTTGGGCTGAGTTAATGTTTACACTCAGGTCCAGAGCTATTTGTGCTTGATGGCAAACAGAGCACAGCTGCCCAAACAACCTCTCTGTCCCTCTCCAGGTCTATTGAGCTGAATGGCCATGTGCTACGGATGGTGGATGACAAAACACTGCCAGAGCTTATCGAAAAGCCCCTTGGTCCCGGCAGTGTACTCGGCCTCCCAGCCTTCTCTTACGGCTTTTATGTTATCAAAAACGCCAAAGCTGTTGCTTGCATTTAAATGAGTAATACCCACATGCAGGATAAATGTAAAGCACTTGGCTAGTAGGGGATTTTAATCCTAGAAATTCACGTTTCTACCATGGGACTTAATTCTGGTAAGGGATGCAAATGTGGCAGCACTGGTACGACCTGTGGGCTGGGCAAGACATGAGGGCCCACTGGGTAATTTGTACGTGAAAGATGCTTATTCAGCTCCAAGGAGAATTATCCAGGTAGAACAAGACCAGGCAGGGGCTTGGTGACCAACCTGTGTCGCTGCACTTGAGCAGGGGGCCTTTCTCCAGGCCACGCACGGAGCCACATCAGCTTCTCACACTGTGCTTGGGGCTCTGCCAGCCTGGGAACTGCAATCTTCCCTCTCCCTCTTGTTTCTGCAAGCACAGCTCTAAAAGCAGTTTCTTCAAAACCTTGCCTTCAGAAAGGATGAGCAGGGTTTTTATTTTAGCTGTACAGCTGTGACTCTGCCCGTACCATGTGGGGAAGCCCGAGAAGGGGTTGTAGTTGCTGAGGGCATCTTGAGGTGGGAAGTGTGGACACAGAAAGCAATCCAAGGTCAGGGTGCCTGCAGGGCGAAAGACCTTGCAGAGAAACCAGGTCCTCTATCAGGTTTGGGGCAGTAACACACATTTTTCCCAAGCTCGTTGAGTTCAGTCACAAGATGGAGCTGTGGCCAGGTTCCTTCCAAAGGCAAGTTTTTGACACACGAAATGCAGGCTGTTCCTGTGGGGTGGTCTAACTCTGCTGTAACGCGCTTCGTCCCCGTGAGGAAAGGAGAGGAGCCCACCAGCATCCCTCTGTGGTCAGTGGGCTGCATGGTGAGAGTTCAGAACTCCTCAACCTTCACCACCCTGCAGGCAGTTCAGCTGGAAAGGACTTCCCTGAACCTATTTGCAGGTGAAGATCTCTCTGCTTTACACTCCCTAATTCACTAAGGTCTCTTCGAGGAAATGGAATAGTAAAGAGACTGAGCAAACCACTCACCCCTCAACCATCAGAGGGATGTCAGTGGCCTTAGAGATCCTGAGGACAAAACTCCCAGCCAGGCTGACATCCTTCCCACTTTGAAAATACCATTTTGCCCAGAAATCTGTGTTGGTGGTGGCTTTTCTCCCCAGTTGTGCCTTCCCCATGCCCACCCTGTTGCAGTTCCATGTGCCACCAGCCACTGGGCCGCAGGGTAACAAAAGGTCTCAGACAATACCTGTGGCCTCCCACACACATTTATTTGCATCTGCTTTCCTTGAAGATATGTAACCCCTACCACTGTCAATGCCTTATGATATTGTGAGCACAGCAGGGAAAAACAACACCACACCACTGTACTTCCCTTTTTAAGCTTTAAAAAGATGCTGCCAGCCACATGGGGTTTCAACTCAGGGCAGGGAACCTTTTTTAATGAGAGGACTTTAAAAACAGATGTACTTTTGTAGCTGTGATGAAAACCTGCACAATAAAAGGGTTACGTGTCAAAGGAGTGTTTGTTTGCATCCATAGAGCAGATTCATTCTGTGAAGGGTTATGTATCAGGGGATAAAACAGATCAGAATGAGAAAGGCTGTTTGTTTACACTGTCCAGTTTCCATAAAAGACGTGAAGAGAGTGTAAGATGGAGTGAAAAGTCTTACATAAAGTCAACATAAAGTTAATAATTTATTATTATTGTTATTATTATTATGTAATTTACAACTAAAACATTTTATTCCAATTTGTTTATTCCAATGCTTTTGGCTTTTATATTTGAAGATTTTAATTAAAGTGATTTATACCAGCTTTTGGCAACCTTTGGGGTTTTTTTAGAACTTCTTTTTGACATACTGATACCACAACACTCCCTACTTTTCTTCTGGTCATACATCACCTGTACTTTGGTTACCAACAAGAGTACCCAAGCACATGAAAATGAAAGAAATCATACCCAGTTTGGAGTGTTTCAACTGTAGTTGACCACCAGTTCACAAGTCCTCTACCCCAGGGTCTGACTTGGACTCAAAACATGTGTTGGTGATTGGCACACAGGAACTACTAGGAGGGGCACAGGGATGTCCGGGCATGCAAATGACAGCTGCTCCCTACCATGTCTCCTCCTCTGAGCACAGGGCATGGTTCTTCACAGGATGGGGTTTACAGTTCACATAAACTCCTTCAACTTAAAAAGTTCTCTTACACACACCCAGGTGACTTCTCTTTATGAAGTGTTGTATATTTAGCTGATAGCAGCCCTTAGCTCTACACAAACAAAGCAGGAGGGAGGTAAGCGAAGGAGACTGGAAAGATGCTGGATCCCAGCACACCAAGACAGGTATGGTCTGAAAAAGAAGCAAACATCACCCTCACAGGGCCCATCTGCAGCAGCAATGCCTGCCCCACAGGCACCTTATCTCTGGGGCTTTTTTCCTCTGTGAATGTTGCAAACCTTGAATATGTGTGTGTGTGTGTGTATACTTATCTGAGAACATGGACAATTATTATATCTCACACACATTCCAATTTACTTTTGCATTTTTGACTCTGGAGGTCGGATTACTCGCCTTGGATTTACTGTAGGTTTTACTTCCTGGAAGCTGAAGTAAGTTGCACCATAAGACTTTTGTACATTTTGTACATTTGTACTTTTGTACATTTGTACTTTTGTACATTTGTTGTACGTGAAAATAAGGAAACTGATAATCTCCTTAGAGTCAGGAGCAATTTGACCATCAACTCAGATTTGAGCCAAACAAGACAGTGAAGTCTTAATAGCTTTTGGTGATTTTCTGAAGTCTGAAATGAGCTGTTCCCTAGAATATTTTTCAGTGAAGGGCCAGGCTACTTTATTATGAATATAAATCTAGTGGCAGTAAGTTAACTTTTGCTTAATTTTCATGAGCTCCTTAAAAGTTTTCTGTAGACAGTCCAGGGTTTACTTGCCACATCACACACACCAAGAAAACAGTGTCTGCGGAGGAGCACCCACATGGTGACAATCAGAGTATTGGTGTTCCTGTGGACACAACAGGCAGAGAGACTGTGGACATCTGTTGCCAGGACTCAGTATTCAAACACACCTCAGGCACTTGTCTGTACCTGAATAAAGCCTGTAATTGGCCTTGTCAATGTGAAATGGAGCCAAGGTCACAAAGATAGTATTAATTACACATCATCACAGTTGAGCAACTATTTCTTTTATTGTCTTGTGCAAGTCATTTTACTGTAAAGTACTGCTCGCTAAAACAGTAAATGGCAAAACATGGAAGTCTCTTCTCCATTGCTTCCGTTTTTCACTTCCTCCTGGCAGTCAACATCTTGGGAAATTGAAGTTCAAAATGGTTTCCCTTGGTTTTTTTGTCAGTGTGTCAGTCCTTCAAGCTGAAGGAAGTGTGGAATAAAAAAGAAGTTATCCTCTACAGGGACACTGAACTCCCCAAGAAATCTTTCAGCAGCAGTTTCAGCACAGTTGAAATGAGTTGGCTCAGTTAGTTTCTTCCTCATCTTAGGATTTCTGCCAGGTGTCTCTGTGGTCTACAAAATTTGCATTCTTTGTGCCCACTATGAGTGATACATCCTTGTTCTGCAGCACTAGACCTTCAGCCTGTCCTTTGCCAAGCCAAGAGCAACCTCAGCCCCTTCAGCTCCATGGACAACCTGTGCTTACACAGCCTCGGCTTTCTGCCCTGGGTCTTCCTCCTAAGGAGGAAGGAGGCAGGGAACCCTCAGTCCCTCACCTGACAGATACAGTCAGCACAATTCTTTCCAGTGGACTGCCAAACCTTTCATTTATTGCATTAGTGCACCCACTGTGCAGTATCATTTACTGCCTTATTGCACCCACTGTGCAGTGTCATGCACGCGGAAGTAGGGGGGAAAAAGGATCTTGTCATCTCTAAGCAAATAAATTCAAGGTCCCTTAAGTAAAGCACAACTGTAATGCACTTAAAATCTGTGCTTTCCTCTATTTTCTCTCAAGTACTTTTATTGCCATTTATATATATCCCCTGAAAAAGTGGTTAATAACATGACAGTTTTGGGGAGAAAATAAGCTCTAATGAAGCTGGAAAATCTGTCTGATAAATATTTGGCCATGCTGCCACATGAGAGGCAACACAAAACGCACACAGGTTTTTCTATTAAGCAGCCACCTAACGCTGTTGAAACTTCTCCTCGAAACACTCCCCTGATGCTGCTGCTTGCAAAGTTAAGCTGGAGGTAAAATTATTTCCCTTCTATAGAGATCATAGAATCATTAAGGTTGGAAAAGATCCCTAAGATTACGGAATCCAGCCCCTAACCCAGCACGGCCATGTTCACCACTAAACCACGTCCTCAAGTGCCACATCCTCACACCTTCTGAACACTTCCAGGGGTGGTGATTCCACTGCTTCATTCAACAGCCCGTTTCAATGCCTAACCCCCATTTCAGTGAAGGAGTTTCTCCTAATATCAAATCTAAACTTCACCTGGTACAACTTGAGACCGTTTTCTCTCCTGTCACTTGTTACCCGGGAGACGAGACCAACTCCCACCTGCCTACAACCTCCTTTCAGGGACTTTCTGAGAGTGAGATACTTTTCATTCAGAGCTGAACGTTCCAAATGCTTTGATGTCAGCCTAGGAAAAAACCCCAAGATCCTGCAGAATGGGCATTGCTTTCCCCACTACCCTCACAGCTTGTTACAGGCTTGGTTCTGTTCTTTATGCAGGTGAAGCAACTTCTTTATATTAGGTGTATTTCCTTATTACTCTACCTGCCATAGCCAAGCTCTGCAATTTAGAGGAACTGTGTTCTGCTGATGTAAGCATTCGGGACTGGGTTTCGTTTGTTTTTCATTAGGATGTGGATTTACACTCCCTCTTCCAGAAATTAAAGCTGTATTTTTAGAAGTTTTGAACTTGGCATTGAATACTGTTTTTGTTGTCGGTTTCGTTTTGGTTTAATTGTACAACACCCTTCTGCTCTGTTCAGACAAAATCACATATGTACAGCTGCCTGGAAGTGGCAGGAAAAGAGAAGTACTGTAAAACAAATTGTCTCTTATGTGATTTTCTTTGTAATTCTGGTACTGCATGTAGCACACTCCGTTAAAATTTGCTCTGGCCTTTTGCCTCTGCCACAAACTACAGGGAGGCACTGCAGGAAACTCACCTCTCCAGTACTCCAGGAGCCTTCAGCTAGTACCTAAACTTCACATTATCCATTAATATCCCCATTTTTTCTTGTCTGCTTTGTTTTGAAGTTTAAACAGAGCTTGTCTTCACGGTATTTGTACTGTGAAGTGTTTCAAAATAAACTAATGGCCCTCTCCCAGCTTTTGCCAAAAGGAAATAACAAAGTGCCCACAAAATACATTCTCTACATTTTGCTTACTACACCAGTCCCTCATCACAACAGTTGTGCTTTCAGTGTCTCCCTTGAATAATGGCTAATCACAGCGCTGTGCTGGTGCGGGTGATGTGGTACCTTAATTTTCAGCTGGCTTTTCAGTGACCCCGAGGATGCTCTGATCTTTCCACAGACACACCTTTCTGACCTAGTCAAGCCCCCTTTTTATTAAAAATGAAAAGTAGTAAGTTTCTGAACAATTATGTGATATGACTTTAAGTAGCTCAGATTTGGGAAGAGCTCACATTTTGTAGTGCCTTTGAACCAACTTGTCCTTTGTTCAATGCCAAGCCAGGTTACCAGTGGCTGGCAACATGCCTGACCTGCTGCCCTGGTGGCCCCTGGGGCTGAGCTCCTGCCAGCCAGACCAGCTGGCCTGTGTGCTTTGGCTGAAGCTGTTTGCTCCCCGCAGCTCCAGAGCCAAGTACCTGCAGCAAATACTTTCAAACAGAGGAAAAAATCTGGCCCCCTTTCATTACCACCTCCATATTTACCAAGAAACAGACAAATAGCAAAATCCAGGCACAGTTTGCCTTGGCTGACCCTATGGAGAGTCCCTCCCTTGTCAAAGGTGAGCGTGAAGCCTCTCATGTGCCACTGTGTTAAGTGGGCTCCTAAGGAAAAGATCCAGCCCCACCATGAAGGGATGCCTTGGCAACCTCTCCCTGCATCCCTGCAGGAACTAGCACCCTACTTCTGTAGGGCTAATCCTGGACAAAGAGCTGTTCTTGCTTTGATACGAAGTACAATGGGAGCACGTGCAGGCAAGGGTTGGTGTTGGTTACCCAGTTTTCTGGTCCACAGAGGAACTGGAAGTGTTTCAGTAGGCCCTTGCCAGGCACATCTGACCTTCCTGCTGCCTGCAAAAGCATTTATCATCTCAATATCCTGTGGAGGAACGTTTGGAAAAGGAAGATAACAAGAAAGGCAAGGTTTGACAGTGGAGGAGAAACTTCCAGAGGACACTGTTTATTTATGCAAAAGCACACTACCTAATAATAAAGCTGATGCTTAGAGACAGGTCTATTTGAGAACTTTTAGTAGACTGTATCTAAATACAGCAGAGAGTGTCCTTGTAAAGATCAGAATTAGAATAGCTTGGGAATGAAAGGAGAAGATGCACCCACACCTGCCAAACAGGGTTTTACTCAGGAAGTAGCTCAGCTTTTTTTGTTTTGCACTTGAAAAATTACTTCTTATTTCCGTGTATTAATCATAAAATGCTCACGCAAATAACATCCTCAGTACTAAACAGCCTAGAACCTCAACCTTCCTCAGTTCTTCAGGCAATTAACCTAAAACACAGCTATGGTTTATCTTTGTAAAATGCATTTTGAGATGAACTTGGAAAACTCCCACAGAAAACATGAAATGATTTTCAAGTTTAGGACATGAGGACTGTTTTGGAACTTCAATTTTTACTCTGTTTAACTACACCTTCTTCTTCCTCTCATTACAAGACAAATGCTTGTGATAAGCCATCATTGGACAAAGGACACCAGTAAGTTCAAAGGCACTACAAAATGGGAGCTCTTCCCAAATCTGAGCTTCTCAAAGACACTGCAATGTATTAAAAATGGATGAATAACTTTTGCCACCTCTTTGAGATGATACTAAGTAGTATTAAGAAACTGATCCATCCTAACTACATCACAAGACTTCTTAATTACTAGTAAATGGTTTATAAAGAAAGTTCAACATGGAGTTGGATGCATCCAATTCTCCCTCTACAAAATGCAACTTCATCACATAATTGTTTAGAAACACAGTATTTTTAAACTGCCTTTTTTTTTTTAACTTAATGCTTCCTCCACCTCAAATTTATAAAACTTACTTAAGAACAATTTCTGTGTAAGGATTGAGGATGACTTAAAAGCAGTCACACTTCCTAATATTTTCATGTATTTCTATCTTACATGCAGTCAGGCTGAAAAATCTACTATTTCTGATTTGCTTAAAATGTATTTGACATCACTGATGCAAATAGTAAAAGAAAAAGCAATTTGACAGGATGTACATTAAAATGAAGTGTTCAGAACCAGCAGTTCCAGCCCCAAAAAGGAACTTCTGTGACCAAAGCCACTGACTCGTTAGATGCTTTCTTTTTCCTGCACCAAGAACTGCTTTGCCTGTTCACCATCACTGGCAGTGCAAAATTACCCTTAGCAAACCCTGGACACATGGCTCTGGACTGCAAGGTCTCTCAGAAATACTGGTTTAAATAACCTTAAAAATATCATTCCCATCTTTGGAGCCAGAGCAGTACTGAGCCTTGTTATTGCTGTGACTGCACACACAAGTTGTGTCCCACCACTCAAGTAGGAGAGCAGACATCAGAAAAGGTGGTTGGGATACCATAATGAGCTTGGCAACCAAATTCTGTATCACCAAACCACAGCCCCACATGCAGGCATACACAGTCACCCATGGAGAAAAGTGTGCTTGCCTTGCCAACCAGTATGGAAACTCAGGTAAGCTCCACTGCATCATTATCCCAGAACAGCTGTGCCTGCTCCTCCTTCCACAGAAATCGACTTCACAACATGCCATACAAGCTCTTTAACACCAGGAGTCAAAGAAAAGGCTAAACACCATGCACATCGTGGAACTGGGAGAGCATAAGCCAATTGAAAACGTGAACAGTTTTAAGCAATTTAACTGTTAGCCTGCACTTGCTATTTTTATTGCTTCTAGGCATCCTCCTAGAAACAAGTTCTTCCTGTAAGACTACAAATAAACCCAGTAGGCAATAAGTCAAAACAAACGGAATTAAAAAATAGAAGTATGACAACACGTAGCATGACAAATTTGTACCTCAGGGTCAGCCAGCAGTCATGGACACTTGGCAATAGTTCTGGGCTACTCCATTTTTGTTTGAAGTCAGTAGTCTGTGTTCAAGTCACTCCTGGCAAACAAACTCAGCCCACTCTGTGCAGGCAACTTCACAGAGACCTGTTCTTTTCACGTGAGAAGCACCCGCTGTCAGCAATCACAGCAAGAGCAAAAGGTAATCCTAAATACTTCTCTATTGACTTATTATGAACCTCACACACTCAAAAGTCCTGACTGCTTTTAGACATCTCAGGATGAAAACAGTTATTGCAATTCTTTCACGCAGCAAGCTCCAACTCAAACTGAGAATTATTCTTGTAATAAACCAGATCATCAAACATGTACAGGTAGATTTTATTTACATCCTGAAACAATTCTGCATTTTTGCATGTGCCGTCACTAAGAGATACACCTTTTGTATAAAATCTTGCATTCGGTCTTCAGAGCTTGACACAAGCTTGACACTACACAGGACCAGCAGAGCAGCTTCACTTATTCAAGCTTCTATGGACATTGAAGTTATTTACAAATAATTAAAACTTGCATTGTAGGATCATCTCAACTGCATGATTTTAGAAACAAGAATATTTTCACCAGCTTTTATAAATAAACAGTATAAAGCAGCTATATTTATATTAAAAGTTTTTTCCTTCTTACAGTACTTACATTTTAGGACTAAAATATCAGTATTTATAATAACTTCAACTATCTGTTTTCTAAAGTCTCTTTTACATTTTTTAAGTCCTTTTGTTTCCACAAATTTCCAAGCACAATCCCTGTAAAGAGCAGAATTCCTACAGTACGATTTGAAGCAAATTTCTTCCAACAGTCTTCAGGCTTGTCTATGTCCAAAGTGTAAATCTGCAAAAGCACAGTAAAACATTACAGGACTATTATTCTACAGACTCGTAAATATTAGATACATCACAAAATGACACAAAAAGGTATGTAACTTCAAAAAATTATTCTTAAATTCTAAAGTTTACCCTTACCTCCACAAGAAACAGGTATACTCTGTGCTTAAAAAAGAGTTTTTGCATAACTGGCGTCTATGTTTGACAGATTTATTCAACATACAGCAAAAAAGTCAAGGATCACATATGAACATGATTCCCAGACTGTCTCAATGAAAGAACATATAAACAGCCTGCTTACTGGTGTGTCCAGTTTGATATTTAAAAGTGTGAAAATATCTGGGCATGTCAACAAGCCTTTTTGAGATCTGCCTTTGTAGGTAGCCACCTAATCCTTCAGTGGGAACTTTAGTTAAAGACAAACCCCCCAGAACATGCCGACATCTTTCAATCCCTGCTGCAAGGTGTTGTCCCACGTTTCAGTAGAGGCAAGGCACTGGAGAGCCAGAAGTTAACCAGGCTAGATGGAAAGCACAGGAAAGTGCCAGGCCCTGCCTTGTCACACACAGCTGGTTCAGTCCAGTTGCTCTTAGTCATGTCCATTCAGTCCCTTTGCAAACAAGAACCAAGACACCTGAAACAGCAGCTAGAACCAAGGCTTGGCTTACCCAACAGAGCAGCTGTTTGCTGTGAGTCACAGCTAAAGGTAAAAAAAACCCACAAGGTGTAGCAAGAGCAAAGTTACTGAAAAATATTCCCCAAACCAAAATTTGGTGCAAATGTCTTGAGAATGATGACAAGAGGAAATGTTAAGCAAAACAAGTGAAAGGATTAATGGAAAAGTACCCCCTAAAACCTCACACCTTGCAATTCAGCCTTTGAAAAAGTTAAACCAGAACATATTCAAGTAAAAGAAGTGAAACCTTCTCCAGGAAATGAGTTTCTCTGCCATTTGTGGGCATACAGAGAAAACAGGGCTGGGTCCTGATCAAATAAACAGAAGCATTGTTCACAAGCTTCAAAGTCATGTTATCCACACCCTTAAAAACCTGTTAGCCCCTCAAACACTGTGAACTTGAAACACTGAAGTGACAAATAAAACTCAACGGCAGCCAAGCCATGAGAAATACTTTCAGAAACACAAAGAAAGTAAAAGATGTCATGTTTCTATCAGGGAACATCTTGAGAGGGATATAATTTGTCATCATCATGACCCAAATTCCTCTGTCTTATGCAAAAATTCAGTGAATTAAGGAAAACCTAGCCCACAAGCAGCTTACTCAGCTTTCTAAACTCCATTAAGCACACGATCAGAAGCCCTGAACAAGAAGATAAGCATGAGAATGTTTAAGCAGGATTAATATTAAAATAATCCCTCAAAAAGAAGCTACTCTGTGGTACACAGAACAGTGCTGCTCTCGTGACTTTGGCAGTCCACAGAGTCATGCATTCTCCATCAGTTACACTCAATAGCTCTGCACCCTCACTTATAAAAATCCTCCCTGCAGCAAACTGATTTTCATTTCAGCCAAAACTACAGTGTGAAGCCTCTCTGACAATTCAAACTGTAAATGGTCATGCAGCTGACATAGTATTCTTTCCCTCACAGATTTCCAAGCACAATCACTGTGAAAGCAGTGGCTGAGTGCCAGACTACATCACCACAGGAATTCTCTTACTCAGAGGTGCGTTTAATATCCATTTCCTGCATGAGCTCCACCCATAAAAATGTAACATAAGACTAATGTGCTTTACAAAGTCCACATTAACCACAGACTTCTCAAACGGCCAATGCTTTCAATAGTTGCAACACACAAACCTCTGCCACCACTCACTGCCATCAAGACCAACAATTGATTTTTGCGTAGGCTGATTTGTCACTATAAAACTGTGCAACACAGTTGCTAGGATTCAGAAAGAACATGGTAGCAAGATCCTATCTGCTTCCTTTACTGACAAAGCCAATTTCTTTCTTTCTGTTATTCACTAAAACTTCTGAACTAATGCAACTGCAAGACTGAACCAGATTGTTCTCTGCTAGAAGAAGAACTGTGAATTAGAACTGTCAATTACCATAAAATTATGATACTAACATCTGCTATCATAACAGCTGTATCAGAATAGTAAAATTTTTTATCTTGCAGGATATTGAGGTGGATTCTAGCAGCAGCTGCTACTGGGAGCGAGACAAAAACCATCTCCTTGAGATCACAACTTAATGTGAGGCACTTCTTTTGGTTAGGAACAGACTGAAACACAGTGCTCCACAATCTGTGGACTGAAGGTCTCTTGAAACAAAAGGCCTGCAAAAGGTACTTAAGAGAAGCAAGCTTATGGTCAGAAGATTTCAGTCCTCTTTATAGGAACTGGTTTTTTTCAAGTAAGTGGTGAACAGATGTGGGTTGAAAAGTGCTCTGATTTCTTATTAAGAACTTCCCCATGGAAAAAGTATGAATAAATCCATCAAACCTGGTGTGCTAGGTGAGCCCCTACAGCAGCCACAGCTGAGTAATACGGGAATGTCTGGTTACAGTTCATCCCTGCCACGCACAAACTCAGGAGCATGGCAAGGCTGAAGCCACTGAGCCACTGTTTTGTATCCTCCTTGAACTGTAATGCAGTTGATTTCACACCGATCATGATGTCATCCTTCTTATCCTAGAACGAAAGGATAGTTTAGCAAAAAAAAATCCACAATTCAATGTCACTTCATAAAAAGGGAGGCTTTGCTTAAATTCCCAATGCTTCTTACTAGGAACCCAATTTAAGTACATTTCTAGGCCTCTACATTAAAATTTAAATTAGAAGGCTGGTCTCAGAGCTGCTTTAGCAGCCAAGAGCTAATACCAACGTCAAATTTGTTTACACACTGCAAATGCATAAGAGTGCAAAGGACATTTTACTTCCATCTTTCTATCTGATATATAAAACATTTGCAAACAACAATGAAACACCAAAGAGCTGGGACTTCTTTGGCGCTGCTTTAGCTCAGCTGAGGCTGAAGAACTGCCACACGTTAGTTCTGCTCTTTGACAACAGTGTTGTAATTAAACACACAGACTTGTGTATTTGAACAGAGAGATGTGAAATTTCTCAGTGTTACTCTACCTGATGTGCATAAATGGTATCGTACACCAGGGTCCACAGGACTCCAGACAAGTACAAGGGTAAGCACACAGACCACTCACACGACCCTTTGATGGCAGACCAGCCAAGAAGGGCTCCCCAATTAAATGTAAGTCCTAAAAACACAAAGAGTTAAAAGAAAGAGAAAAAAGTTACAAGAATGCACATAATTAAATATTATTTGTTCATGCATCTTTTTGTACAATACCAGGATCTCTATTTTTCTATCATTTACTTTCAGGCAAGTAATAAATATAATTAGTTTGGCATTAAATACTCTGGACATACAAGGAAAAATACACATGCCACACATTTTTCCCTAATTTAAATTTGACTTCATTAGTGTAGGGAAACATTTGCACAGAAGTATTCCAGTATACTCAAACAACAGGACTAAAGTTAAAATGCCTAAATGTCAGTATAACAAAAGATATCAGCATAACTGACTGCAAAACACTACATGGCAGCCAACTGTGGTCCTTCAAGGCTAAAAATGACAATTTTGGTAAAGACACCCTCTGAAGACAGTTAGAATGTGAAAGACAGTATACATAGATATGTTTCAGTAGCTCAGCCTGAAATACAAGCATCATCAGAATCTGTACTGGAGTTATTTTAGAGGATGAAGACTGAAATGCAGGACAAAGGTCTATTTAAGAAAAGTTTTGAGATAATCCCAAATTTAAATCTCATTCTCAAATGACAAATATTTATTTTCTCGCTCCCTTTCTTCCTCCTATCACTCCATCAAAACAAAGAATTGATTTCTAACCAAAAAACCCCAAACCCACACATTAACTCATGCATGTTATAAATTAAGCTTCTCATACAACAGAGCTTTGTCTATAAGGTATTTCTATTTTGATACAGAGTTATAAAAAATCGGATTGCAAAAGTATGAATACTAATTTGTAAAACACCCCAAAAACTACATCTGAAGAAAAAATAGTAAAAATATTTCCAGCTCACCCAAAACCAGCTGTGGCCAATACGTTATTCTCTTCATCAGAGGGTAGGTGACCACAAGAGACAAAGAGGCTGCTCCCAGAACAATACTGTAAAAAGTACCAAGAGGATTATTGTTTGCCAGGCTGAAGATCACTAGATGTAGTGCAGCATTATGGGACCTGTACACAGTACTGAACTAATTAGTTTACTTTAAAATACAATCCATTACTGATAACCCCCTCCCTCTGCCCCTAACACTTTTTCTGCTGAAAATGTCTGTGCTTAACTCTGGACCCAGAATCAAATTTTAAAAACCAAAAGATCACTCATACGTCACCTGTAGTAATTCAGACACAGAAGCACACAGAGTGCCAAGCTAAGCTGTCCCCCAAGAAAAACAAAGGACTGAAAAGTGGAGATATCTCCAGCTGCCAGGGGTCTACTTGCTGTCCTTGCAACCTGAAAAACAGAAATTATGTTAACACCAAATCCAACACAGAATCACAGAACGGTTTGGATTGGAAGGGGCCTAAAAGATCATCTAGTTCCAAGCAGAGAACCTTCCACTAGACCGGGTTGCTCAGAGCCCCATCCAACATAACACATTCCAAAATATCTTTTGTAAGTAAAAGTCACACTACTGGCACGTAAGTGTGGAAATAAACAAAAACACGTCACAGAATGCATGAGATGGGGTTCCTTCAATGATTAAACACAGAAATACATCAAGGATTTCTAAGCAGCAGTGCCTATAACTGAAGCACGAAGGCTTTAAAAACTAGTGCAGAATTAAGGTTCCACTTGTATGGAATGAGGCTGATTAGAAACACTGCAGACATCTTGCATATGAATTTTATCACCTTAGGGAAAAAAAAAAAAACAGACTTAAAAAGTTGTGAGCTAACTATCCTGATTTCAAACGGCACTTCTGTGCTTAAATGCTTTAATATGATTACCATGTAAAATCTCATGAAGATGCAGAGCTCCTGAAGCACACACAGCCATTGCTAATGGTTATGCACCACCAAGCACTTCTGTGCAGGCAGAACTGAGGTCAAGCTTTGCCTAATGATCTCAGAAGGCTGTCTTGTAATGGCCTGACAGCGTTGATTTTGCTCTGAGGCCATTGAGATGTCATACTGGTAAGCAAGCAGATTCCAGGAAGGTAACTCCTCCTCCCTACCACCACAGTAGCATTTGGAGAGTTTTTCAACCAAGAATGGGAAAAACACACTGAGAGCATTGCTAGAAGAAGGGTGAATGGTCTAGTTGAGAGAGGAAGAGTGAGCAGTAAAGCTGATACAACAGAAATGATGGGAAAAGACACGTCTGAAAGTACTGGAAATTGATGATGTTATCACATTTATTTTTTTTTTTTGTACTCTAAAGCACTGCAATTTACATCCAAACAGCCTGGCAGGTTTAAATTTTAAATTAAGTTGGCTTGGAATTATGAATAAGGCCATTAAGTATGGCCTTAATAATCTTTTATTGCACGGATTCCATAAATGCAGCAGGGAAAAGAACATCAAATATTTGCATATGAGTAACTGATGGGCAATTTAAAACATTTGTTTTCTATTTTCTGGGGAGAAATGAAAGGGCCCTAGTTCTATTCTTTACATTTGTTTCTCTCTAATGGGATTTTCAGAATCCAGTCCCATCGATCTAGGGTTAATAACAATGAAAAGACAAATAATTTAATCCTAGTTGGGATACAAAGGAGTTCCGAAACTCTGTCTGGAATAATAATAAATAAATAATAAACCATACAAGGCAAACTGAAGAAAGAAACAAATATCAGAAAAAAGTTAAAATTATATGAATGGTTGCCAAAGGCAACCAATGCCAAAAAAACCCCAAATGACTGAAATTCACCTCAACATGAGGAAGAACTTTTTTACACTGAGGGTGGCAGAGCCCTGCAACAGGTTGCCCAGGGAGGCTGTGGAGTTTCCCTCTCTGGAGACATTCCAAACCCATCTGGATGTGTTCCTATGTAACCTGCTCCAGGTGAGCCTGCCTTGGCAGGAGAGTTGCACTGAATGATCTCCAGAGGTCCCTTCCAACCCTAACGGTTCTGTGATTCTGTGAAATTGTGCATATTGATGAAAATACTGTAAAATGTCTGTTTGAAGAGGTTCAAAAGCCAACTTGTTACAGAATATCATGTATGTATGAAGTGTCTTGCATATGCTTTTGCAGATTAAACATTCACTTAACATATCTGTGACCAATTCCACTGCACATTGCAACCAAAGATGGGACATTTCACTTAAAAAAAACATTTACCAAATAATAAATAACACAAAATCTAACCCCCAAACCACTATCACCAACACCAGCCAACATCCTGCTGTTGACTCAGCTTCTCACACTTGTGTTGAAGGCAGCCTTTTAAGGTACATCAAAAAAAGCCAAGGAAGCAATTTTTAAAACTTTACATCTCACCACACCACATAATGGAGAAATTAAATCACTATACTGAAAATTCCCTCATACTAATCACATCCCCACCATCAAATATGTTTAGCACATGCAGTTGTTAGTATCTTCCAAGGCCTAAACCACCCAAAGCTGCCACAAAGCCTGTACTGACTCATTGCCTTCCCAACAATACAACAGTGCTGTAGTAAGAACTCCACATGCTGGATTGGCTCATTATTCTGTCTCTTGCCAGCACCAAAACCAGAGAAACAATATAGGAACAGAAAATAGGACCAGCAAACAGTGACACATCACCAAGATACTTTTCAACACCTGACACTGGGCACTGCCTTTTGCTTATTTCCTTCTTCTGAATAAAAAGGAGATGATAAAAGAAAAATACAACACAATAGAAGGGGATTAGCTCTGGGTTGAGCATGATACTCTAAATAGTCATTCTCATGAAAAAATTAACAATACAAGGAAACACTGCTCCTGAAATTAAGGTGGAAAAAAAAGTGATTCTTAGTGCAGCAAAAAGGTGTTACTTGTTTTGTTCTGTCATGCAAAACAATGTTGAGAAACAAACTTAAGTACTACCTACAGCTGACAATTGCATGTGTTTTATCCTATATGGAGGTAAGTACTCCAGACTACTTATTACAGTCCTAGAGAGAAATGTTATACAAAATAATTTCTACTATTTTAGGAGGAAATGCAGACAAATTAATTGCATGAATCTCAGAGAGAAACATGGAGGAGATTCTGAACCTGGAGCCCTATGATTTCACTCAGCAAGGCAGCACTGGTGATGTTCACGTACTTCGGTGCCTTCAAGATCCCTGGTGCCTGGCTAAAAAAGCCCCATCTACTAAAATAGCATCTGTTCAAGTGGAGTCTTCCTCTCTGGAGACATTCCAAACCCACTTGGATGTGTTCCTGTGTAATCTGCTCCATGTGACCCTGCCTTGGCAGGAGTGTTGGACTTGATGATCTCTGAGGGCCCTTCCAACCCTAATGGTTCTGTGATTCTGTGATGCTGGAGACGAGTGGACATGTGCTCGGTTCACTGAATCACAGAATGGTTTGGGTTGGAAGGAGACCTTTAAGGATCACCTAGTTCCAACCCCCCTACCATGGGCAGGGACACCTTCCACCAGGCCAGGTGGCTCAAAGCCCCGTCCAGCCTGGCCTTGAACACCTTCAAGGATGGGGTGTCCACAACTTCTCTGGGCAACCTGTTCCAGTGCCTCATCACCCTCACAGTAAAGAATTTCTTCCCTATATCTAAGCTAAATCTACTGAACCCATTTCCGCTTGTCCTGGTGCTACACACTCTTGTAAATAATCTTGCCCCATCTTTCCGGTAAGTTCCCTTCAGGTACTGGGAGGCAGCATCGACCAGCATTGCCCACGTCTCTGCAAGCCCTCGGGGGCCCCTCTACCTTTCTGTCAAAGTCGCGATCCCACATGTCATTGATGGTGCAGCCGGCGCCCCGCATGAGCACGGCCCCCACGCCGAACAGGGACAGCATGTGCCAGTCCGGGAGGCAGCCGGGATCGGCCGCCAGCCCGATGCTCCAGGTGCATGGCAGGTACAGCAGCCACGTCCCTGCGGGGAGACAAAACCCGCGGGTGGCGTGAGCGGGGGGTGAACGGGAGGCCAGCGCGGGCACAGGGGCCCCGGCCCTCCCCGCGCTCACCGGCGGGCTGGTGCAGCCGCATGAGCCGCAGGTAGGGCTGCAGCGGGCCCGGCGCGGCGCGCACCAGCTCGGCCGCCGAGAAGCTGCGCGGCCGCGGGTGCTCGCAGGGGCGGCGGCGAGACAGCAACAGCAGCGGCGGGACTGCGGCGAGGGGCGGGCGGGCAGCGCAGAGCCTTCCGGGGACCCGGAGCCCGGCGGGGCCCCGGCACAGCCGGGACAGCAGCGCTGCCGCCATCTTGGCCCCGGCGGGCCGCCGTGACGAGGGCCCCACGCATGCGCAGCGCCCGCGGCCGGGGCTGTGGCGGGCCGGGCTCCATTGTCATCAGCGGGACATAACGTATTGGTCTCCCAAACCTTTCCACGTTATATCGTTAATGAAAAAAAAGCAAATAACATGCCCATGGCAGGAAACAGGTGATCTTTAAGGTCCCTTCTAATCCAAACCATTTTATGGATTTCCGTAGGAAATGGGGCAAAACCCGGACTGGATTTCAGCTGGAGTACGGAATGGGGCAAACCCCGGACTGGATTCAGGCCGGAGTACGGAATGGGGGAAAACCAACGCTGGATTTTTCTGGAGTACAGAACGGGGAAAGCCCGGACTAGATTTTTCTGGAGACTGGATTCCCCCCCACCACTGCCCCCCCCCAAAAAAAAAAAAAAAAAAAAAGGAAATGTTGGACTTGATGATCTCAGAGGTCCTTTCCAACCTGGTTGATTCTATGATTCTATGTGAGTGGCCTAAAATGGAATAAACTATTTTCTGGTTGCAACTGCTCTGTAAAATACAATGGTAGACTGCATAATTCATACTTTGTTCTTTGCAGAGAAAGCAAAAAGGTGTTCAAAAAAATGTTTTTTTCTTAATCTATGCTCCTTTATCTTAATCAATATTGCATTTACTCTAGTAAACTGGTGAATATTAATTTCAGCTGAATTTTTCCGTTGTCTGCTTGGAAATTATCACAGAATGGTTTGGGTTGGAAGGGACTTCAAAGATCATCTAGTTCCAAACCCTATGCTGTGGGCAGGGATGCTTCCCACTAGGCCAGATTGCTCAAAGCCCCATCCAACCTGGCCTTGAAGACTTCCAGGGGTGGGGCATGCACAACTTCTCTGGGCATCCTGTGTCAGTGCCTCACCACCCTGACAGGAAAGAATTTCCTCCTAACATCTAATCCAAACTTACCCTCTGCCCATTTAATGCCATTCCCCCTTGTCCTATCACTCCATGCCATTGTAAAAAGTCCCTTTCCATCTCTCTTGTAGCCCCCTTTAGGTACTGGACAATGCTATAAGGTCTCTCTGAAGCCTTTTGTTCTTAGCACCTGGAAAAAGGCTTTACAGGGTTGGTTTTGTTGGCACATTTCCTTTCTCACTAGCTATTGAGATGTTTTGCTTTTTGCTGTCTTGCTGTGGCTAAGAGATACACACTTTGCAGCCGACCATCTGTCTCCTTGCAGAGCCACTCTGCAGACTTGGAGAAGCCACATGTGAAGGGGATTGGAGCCACCAGCCAGCACCAGAGCCCCGGTCGGGCCCTGTGGTAATCTCTGGCCAGAAACCACACCAGCTGCAACAGGAGGCAACGGGTCCTCCTGCCCAGCCGGGCAAGTGTGGTGCTCTTGCTCTGAGTTTTAGGAGTTCACATTTTGATTTCACTGCTGACATTTTTGCTGGGGTTTTTGTCTGACTTAAATGCCAGATGAAGGGAACGAGCTGAGGTAGGTGTTTATGATGGACTTTTTATTGTCACAAAGAGCAGATGTACTTGATGAACCAGGATTGCATATAGGAGTGGGTGGCCTTTCTGTGGAAGAAAAGCATTTTCAGGGCTTGATTGCTCAGGCAGTCAGTGTCACCCCAGTTCTGAATGGAGGATGAGCTATTAAAATCCTTAAAATGTTGGTGATGAGTGCTTTTTTAAAATATGTTCTCTCCCATACTGGCTGTGCATTTCAGCTTCCCTCCTCTCCTAGGCCAGCTGGTATTTGCTTGAGCCAGTGGGATGTCACGTATCCCCTCTTCTAGGAACTACAACTTTTTGCAAACCCCACTTCCCACAGCCTCTTGCAATGTTTTTGGAAAAAGAAATGAATCATTTATGATTCAGCCAGGGGGTGGCCAGGCAGCCCCATCGTAAAGCAGGGAGAGCCCCAGCTAAACTTTGGAGCTGTTGGAAGCTGAGGGAAGCATTCTAGGGCACGGCTCACTGTTATCTCAGGACTATTGTTAAAAGGCTTCCTTTAAAGCACCATAAATCCCAGCCTGTTAACAAAGCTCCTAAATTGCAGTTTAATTGAATTTCCCCTTTCCCTGTTCTTGTTGAGGGTGAGAGAGAAGGAGAACACACCATCAACACTTCCTGTGGGATGCACTGAACTTATCTTGCTCCTGAACAAGCACTTGCTTTGATCTTCTCTGGGCTCTCCGAACACTCTGTGCATCCTGCAGGAAAACAAAAAATGCTGTCCTGGTGCCACAGATTCTCTATAAAAGGTGGAAGTGTATCCAAAACTGTCAGTGACTTGCACAGGGCTTGAGTGGTTAGATATTTGGGGCATGTTAGTGAACAAACAGTAAATATTAGAGTCTCAAAGAGGGAAACTGATATGTGTATGGTAAGTACTTAGTTAATTTTACAGTGGCTGGGCTACATGGCTTGTGACAAGCACTTAGGGAATCAGCCTGATTTTTCTAGAAAGCCTCCACGTGGGGTGTATTTACTAAGTCAGAAATTGAAACCCAAATGCATCTGCTGAGAAGGACCAGGGAGAACACTGCAGATTGAGAAAAGGATTAAAATCGAAGGTGTCATCGCTCCCTGCTGCCTCCTTGTCTGAGTCTGAATGGAAGTGTAGTAGGATGGCTGGGGCTGGGGCTTCCCCTCATGTCAGGGTCATGGCACAGAGTGCTGACCTGTGGGGAGCTGCCCCGTGGTGCAGGTGGGTTTAGCTGCTGCTGGCTTTGACTGAGAGTGCCCTGTTTAGCCCCCTGCATCAGCAGGCTGGGGCAGGGGCTGTTCTGAGCTCCACAGAGAGGTTTCGATCACCCAGAACCCCCTGACACCGCCCCTTTTACCACCACTCTGCCCACCCCCCATTGCCAAGCCTGGCTGTTAAAGCAAACAGGTCTGCATTAACCCCTTTGTCCAAAGGTTTTTCCATAAGAAAAGGGAAGAGCTCAGAGTGAAGCACTCGGAGGTGCTCTGCCTTTACTCTGGTCTGGGATATGAGAAGTACAATTTTTCTGGGTGGAAAAATGTTGGATAAATGTCTGTCCCAATGAATGCACATCATTCAGAGCTGTTCTCCCCCGAAGAGCAACAAAGTGGAGGCAGAGTTAAGGGAATAAAGAATAGACAATAAACATGTAACTTTTTTATTTTTTAAGATGAATAATTAAGTCTGGGAAAAGGAAACCTGTGCTCTGCAGGCTTGTTAAATCTGTAATCCTAACGACAGGGCACATGTCCACACCACCCCCTTCAAGTTACCTCCCACCCACTATACTTGTTTGTTGACTGCCAGTAAACCTCCAAGTGTGAGCAAGTTTAGTTTCACCATCCCCAGAGCTCTTTCTGCAGGGTCCCGGCTGGCAAAGAAGCGTGCTCTGACAGAGGCTGCTCACCAGAAGGTTGGTTCTCTTAAAGCATGGAAATGTTAATAACTTGTTAGCCTGGGAAAGTGGGATAATAGTAAGTAAAGTAAGGATTTTTTTTTTTCCTGTTTAGCACATAATTTAAATCAAACAATCTTGCAAATTCTACTTGGGGAAGGGGGGAGGCTTTTAAAAACTATGCATGAAAGCTGAATTCTGTAGCAGTTTCCTTTTCTTTGCTGCTTTCTCCTGCTGACAGAATTGTATAACTGTGTTAAAGGAATCTGACTGGTACTTTACTCTCTGTTTAAACCGGGCTGTCCTGCCACGAGGTTGGATATTGATCGCTTCTATAGGTTGCTGCCTGATCTCCCTGAGTGTTTGCTGTCCCTTCAATGGGGTATGCTATTGGTGGCAAGAGCAGCTTCATGCTGCAGTCTTAATTTTTACGGCTAAGAGATCTGTTTGCATGTTTGCAGCTAAGAGAGGAGAAAATATGGGAATAATATTCGTATACAGAATACTGTGTATTTGTAAAGGTGTAGAGGGATTCACCACTTGTTGGTAGCACGGCTGTGGATCGGCAGGGGGAAGCCCTCGAAGGCATCGCACGCTCACATTTTCCTCTGGACATACTTGGTACTGCCTCCAGCTGCATTTCCTTCCAACTCAGGACCTTCTGTGATTTCTGTGATTCACACCGGGCTTGCAGACTGGCTTGTGCTCCCAGGTGAAGGCAGGAGTGGGATTTCTGGAGAAGCATGGGTTAATCCAGAGGGTGGAGAGTAGTCCCCCTCCCCCAGCACCTCCTACTTAATTTCAGTTTCTATTCAGGTTTTTGAGCTCAGAAACTGCACAGGGAAGAGCTTAATTAGCCAGCACTGTTCTGCCTTTGCCAAGCTGCTGTTTCTAAGACATAAACCATCTGAATTTGTAGAAAAAAGACTTCTTTTAAGTCTTAATTGATGTGAGCAGGCAGTTTATCTTATCTAGAAAAACCTAGCCCCAAAGCCAGACTTTCTTTGAATTGTTATCTAAGACTGTTTTGCACTTTTTTTACTTGGGTAGGAAGACAGAAGCAGAAAGAGTAGTTATTATCATCATCACCACTATTATTGTCATTACCATAATTATTATCATTATTATTACTATTTTAGATCTGAGGCTTACTGGTTTTCAAGATTTACTTTCTTGCTTAACCACCAGAAGGCAAGGAGAGGGCATTAGACTTGGGACACAGCCTTGAGTTTCTGTCTTTTTGACTCTCTATGATAAGAAACTGGAGATATGAGTTTTCTATAGTATCTCTCTTGCGTGGAGCCTGGCTTTGGTACGAGGAAGGCTCTTCCCACAGGTTCTTCCCACATGCTTTGGCCCCATGCCAAAGCCATCTTGCGTAAAATAAGCCGAGTTCAACAACTGAAATGCCCAAGTCATTCCCTTTAGCTTAGGTTCACTGCCCAGCCTGGCTTGGCTCAAGGGAAATCAGTGAGCTGTGT